GAGATCGCGATTTTCTAACGATTAATCGTGCAGCCCTAATATATAGCAAACAAGTTTTCACTTCTCATATATTGCCTCAGTATTAGAGTTACTATTAAAATGTACAAAAGACAAACATAAATTTAACATTGTTCAGAAAGTATTTCCAGAATCTTCAAACACTTTTCTGATAATTGGGATTAAACATATTTTGTCCTCTGCATTTAAAAAAATCTGCATTCCTGGTTGGACTGCTGTCTACACGTCTTTTATCCTGCAGCAGGCACGATGTTTTTTATGTTTAGAAGAGCAATTAATTAACTTAATTACCTTTAAGTCTTACAGTCCCCGTGCAGGTTTTCATCCTTTTTCTCCAGTAAGAATATTAGTGCCAAGGAGCTCACGTGATTGGTTGAGTTTCTTTGATTGTCTGTCTGTATGTTAGTATCACGACTAAAAACGTTCTGGGCGAATCTGCATGAAAATGTTTTACCAACATATTAAATTAAAGTAAGAAAGATTGGGAGACACTGTCTCCTGTTGTTCTTCAAAAAATACCACAAAATAAACCACCTCAACTGGCTCCTTTTGATGTGGAGGAGCAGCGGCTCTACTCTGAGCCCATCACGGATGGCTGTACTTCTCACCTTATCTCAAAGGGAGAGGCCAGCCACACTTCGAAGGAAGCTCATTTCTGTCGCTTGTTTCCGCGATCTCATTCTTTCGGTCACTACCCACAGCTGGTGACCATAGGTGAGGGTAGGGTCGCAGATCGACCGGTAAATTGAGAGCTTCTTAGAGATAACCTTAGAGATAAAGTGAGGAGTGGCCCTCTCTTTACCACGACGGACCAGTACAGCGTCCACATCACTGTAGCTGCAGCACCGGTCCGTCTGTCAATCTCCCGCTTCCTTCTCCCATCACTCGTGAACAAGACCCCAAGATACTTAAACTCTTCCACTTGGGGCAAGAGCTCGTCCCTGACCCAGAGTGGGCACTCCACCCTTTTCCGACTGAGGACCATGGCCTCACATTTGGAGGTGCTGATTCTCATTCCCACCGCTTCACACTCGGCCGCGAACCGTTCCAGTGCAAGCTGGAGGCCATCACCTGATGAAGCCAACAGATCATCCGTGAAAAGCAGAGATCAGATGCTGAGACCAACTAAGCGAAAGCCTTCCGCCACTTGGCTATGCCTAAAAATTATGATGATTCATGTATTTTTTCTCTCATTTTGGTCACAACTTCCTTCCAGGCAGGTTCAAGCTGTCTTCGTTTTGGGGTTCGTTCCTATCTGCACCACTTCTATGAAGAGTGCTCCTCCTCCATGTGGGAGAGAGACCCGGAGGATCGGGGGTTCGTCCAGAGCCAGAGGTCAGCCCTGTGGTGGAACTCAGCAGTCTGGAAGGTAAAGCTACTGTTCTCTGTACATACCAAGACACGGTTTTCAAATGTTCCCTGTGGCACAATAAAGTGCTACATTTCCTCTTTTACGGTGTTTCTGGTACTAAAATTTTCATTCCAAAAATAATATTGATAATATTAACTTGACCTCGGATCATTATAAAACTCCTCACTCACAGCTGCATCAAATAATTCAGGGGATGAATTCTTTTATGAGGCTTACGGTGTAAAAAAAAAATTAGATGTCCTTTTACAGCTAAATCCATGAAAAGTTAAAAACAATATACATTTTTACTTCATCGGCTTTTCAGTCGAGTTGACTTTTGAGTTCTTCCACATAAAACTGGACAGCCCTCGTCTTCACACATTGATGCCCATGTCACTGTCAGCCCCGTGGTGGCCTGAGGAGTGAATGTGTCACCTCTGTGACACATGGTGTCTCTTACTGGCAGTTTGCAGCTGCCAGCAGTGAGCTTCACTGGTGTAATAACTCTGCAAAGTGTCTATATTGTTTATATTTATATATTTATGTATAATTACAGAAATTAAACCATCATTACATATTTTCACAACTGTGGCCAATATGTACAGGGGTACTTTATTTCTGCAATACTAGTTAGTTTCTCGAATAAACTGATGCTTTAGATCACAGGTGTCAAACTCCAGTCCTCGATGGCTGGTGTCCTGATACTTTTCCATGTGTCCCTGCTGCAACACACCTAAATATATTTACAGGTCATTAGCACGACTCTATAGAACTTGACTGCATGCTGAGGTGGTAATTCAGCTATTTGATTCATGTTACAGCAGCTCGCGAGTGAATGAACATGGTGCAATAAAAGTATTTTTAGAAGAACATTTTTCCAAACTCTTACATTTACGTACATTTATTTAAATTTACTTAAGTAGGGTTAGGGGTTACCAGGGACACATTTAAAAGTTTCAGGACACCGGCCCTCGAGGACTGGAGTTTGACACCCCTGCTTTACATCCTTCAATAACATTTCTGCTGGGCTAAGGTCATTGGTTTGACTCCTTCCTTTAAAAGCAAATGATTTATATATCATTTATTTTTTTTTATTCAGGTATCAGATAAATGTCTGGACATTTTTAATTACAACATGCTAGTATACTTCATAAAACTGATTGTTCCATTGATAACAAGCTGTCAGACTTAGCATAATGAGCCCAAATCATGACACTACCTCCACCATAGATGGTTTCATAGATGGTATAAGGTTGTCATGTTGTAATCGTGTGTTTTCTAATTTCTTGAGCCTTCCTATTTAATCCAGGAGGTTCTATTTTGTTCTGACGTGTCCCATAAAATATTTTTTCCAACAGCCTTCTTGCTTGTCCAGGTGACCTGTAGTATTATTGTTGAATGTGATTCAGATGTTGGACTGATAAAAATGATTAGCTAGTGTTTAAAAAGGCCTTTAGCTGTTTAGCTGTTACCCTGGGCTCCTTTATCTTTACCTTTATCCTTCTTGCTGGTTTGTATACATACAGGGAAAAACCCAACAATCATATGACCCCTATGAGCAAGCACTTTGGCGACAGTGGGAAGGAAAAACTCCCTTTTAACAGGAAGAAACCTCCGGCAGAACCAGGCTCAGGGAGGGGCGGCCATCTGATGGCTCGGTGGAGCCCAAAGTCTCCATCTATTAAAATCTATTAAAAATCCACAAGGGTCTTCAAGGTCAACTTAATAATTTCAAAAACTAACAAAAAAATTTGATGCTTCCAAATTTGGTGTTTTGTCAAAATATAGAAAGTGCTGTATTATTGTTTCAAATATCATATTTGACCTCTGACCTTTCCTTCAAGGTCAGTAGGTCGATCTGAAGGTCAAAAAGATAATAATGATATTTACTATTTAAAATTATGTCTCTTTCTGCCATTGTTTGTGTGGCCGACATATAGACTTATAGGGGGTGATATATGAGGATTCCTAATATCATGACACATTGGACCTCCGATGTCACTTTTTTCTTTCAGATTCACCCCAAAATGTGTTACATCTTATTATTAAGACAATACTTATTATCAAGTATTGTCAGGAGAACGAGAACGAGCTGGCTATGTACTTAGAAATCAACTGTAGAATCATTATCTGATAAGCTGAAGTCAGTTATCTATTATTTTTCTTCATTACCTACTCCTACATAATGTTTGTGTAATTAAAGCATTCATCCATCATGCTGTCCTTTTCTAATTTTTAGTGCACTGCAAACATCTTAAAGCACAAAGGAAAGAAAGCACAATACTATTCCCTTAAAAGTAAATGTTGCCCAGAGAGTAAGCTTCCTTGGCAGAGGTTTGTGCTCTCAGGGTTGTATAATTTTGCATCATTTTCCCAAATACACGAATGGCCAAACATTATACTTTTTTAATCATTGTTTTTCTTCTACTTTGAGGTGAAATTCTGCTGATGTTTCAGGTTGAAAATGCAGAAACTTCTCTCTGCGACTTTACTCATATAATGTAGTGCATACAGTGCATTTTTAAACTTCATGATGAACAGCAGTCATGTGCTGGTATTTGTAAAGCAGCGGGATTCCAGGTCAGCACATGCGGCAATTGGGATTTTTCTGCATTACAAACAACAAAATGACCTTTCTTAACAAGTAGTGAAGAGCACCGAGCAAACAGGGCCACCTATACAAAAATGAAATAGCCATATCTGCAAAAATGACCACCTCAGCTTCCTTTCTTTACCCTGTCTACCCTTAGGTGTCCTTGGCCCTGGGTGTCCTCATCTTGACTGCAGGTATCGCCACACTGTCGGTCGGCTACTCCACTCCTCCCAAAATCGAGTCGTTCGGAGAGGGAGATCTGTTCTTCGTGGACACGCAGGCCATCAGCTTTAACAAGGGGCTGCATCTCAGCGCCGCAGCCGGGATTGGGCTCTCCTGCCTCGGCTCTGCCCTGGCTGCAATGGGGGTTGTTGTTTGGATCCTCCCCAAAGCCAACTTGAAAGAGAGGCTATCCCACAGACCAGGGGGAGTGGAAGGGAGAAGAGAGTGTGGGTCAAAGTGGAGGGGCTTTAAGGATGTTAGGGATGTGGTCACTAAGCCACCTGGTTCAGAGGAGGGGAAGGTGCCCTTTACTTTGTCGAAGGTGGAAAATGTGCAGCCCGCTTCTTAAAAAAGATCACGACTGAGCTATAAGGCTTTTGTTCTAGTCCTGGGGCCTTTTTTCTTTTTTTGCATGGTCTTAACTTCTTGTCTTACCTCTGTCAAAGGAAACGTGTTATTTCAACATGCAGATTGTTCAGATGGAGGCTGTTTTGTCACCTCAGTATTACAGTCAGACCCCTGCTGTTTGATTGGATTGGACTGGATTTGATTGACTAGCCTCTCTGTAGTTCTAGGGATGTGATTTTGATTATAAGCACCAGTCAAGAAAACCCACATATATTATGATTTAGTGAAAAAAACACATAAATACATTAGAGGATGTTAAAAAACTAAAAAAAAACCCTCAGATTTACACTACACATATAAAACCTACATTTGTTGGGTTTTTTTTTTAAGATACAAAGCAATGATCTGATTTGTCTCTTCATGGAAAGAAGAGCCAAATTCTCTCCCCTCCCCCGCGGCAAGGGGCGAAGCCTTGCATGAAGCATGAAGAGAGTTTTGAGGGTCTGGACAGACTGGCCTTTTCCCTCCGAGTGGCTCTAATCTTACAAATATGTCATTCAACTCGATGCCAACAGTGTTTTGGGAACATTTAACACTCTTTTCCAACCGTCTTTTGTTATCTGCACCGAGGCTGCCAAACCAACAAATCATTGTTTATTTAGAGCTGATGAATAAAACATTTTCAATCAGCTTCATGATTGGGCTTTTTGCACATGAAATCATTCAGTGTCCTTTTGTCGTTCAGAGTGATGCCCAGGTACCTGTAATGGCTCACTATCTAGGTGTAGCTGTGGATTAGATGAAAGTGGGTGCAGAGACAGAAAGATTTCAGAGAAAGCTCCTCTTTTGTTTCTGAGTGAGTATATGTCCTCGCACAAGCTGACAAAATTATCTGAAGCTGGACCACGGTTCACTTCATGGTTTGAAAGAGGCTGATAATCACCAAATCTTCAACCAACGATACCAACGCTGGTGTTGTTGCTGGATCGATACTAGAACGATAGGACCGATAATGTGTTTGTGTTGCACAGCACTGCTATGAACCTCAGTCCAAACGTTAATAGTCATTGCAAAAATAACAAAGTAAACAAAACTCACCCGTGTGGTGATCCTGTTGAACCGTAGACATGATAAAAGATGGACGTCCGTACCGTGACTTCATCAAGCCTCCAAATTAGCACTTTTGGCATCTTGGTGCTTTCAAACTGGATGCGCCCACTGATTGATAGCTCTGACCACGAAACTGTACGCTTACAAGCCATTAGCCAATACTTCATAACATTTTTGAAACTTAAAATGACCATAATTTACTAAATGAACTTGCTCTTTTCAATATGCCTAAAAAAACAAGTGACCCCAACCAATCACAGCAGATGGCCCCGCCCCTCCCTGAGCCTGGTTCTGCTGGAGGTTTCTTCCTGTTAAAAGGGAGTTTTTCCTTCCCACTGTCGCCAAAGTGCTTGCTCATAGGGGGTCATATGATTGTTGGGTTTTTCTCTGTATCTATGAAGCGCCTTGAGGCGACTTTTGTTGTGATTTGGCGCTATATAAATAAAATTGAATTGAATTGAATTGAACCAGTAAGCTCACAGCTATCACCTCCTTGTAGTGAAAAGACTGCAGGTTCAAAGCCCATCCAGCACTATGTCCATCTTTAGGGTTGTCATCAGGGCTTCAGACAAGGTGTCATCTGATCTCATTTTCAGTAACCCAACATATAGTACATTTGCAGTATTTCAGAAAGCCTGTGTGTTTAATATGAGACTGGATGCTGTCAAAAAAATGAAAAGAAGTCATAAGCATGAACATAAGTGTGTCTTCTTGACCACCGACCAGATCCAGAAATGTGGTGTGGCATCTACTTCCTCCATCTTTACTTCTCTTTGTTTAATATGTTGAAAAGCTTTCAGAGAAGATAAGCTGTAGAGGTATTTTTAGGCCCCAAGACTTGAACCATAAGGCACGTAGTTATCTTAAACACCTCGTAGTGCAGCATAGAGACATAGCTGTTGACCGGGTAGACTGTGTTTGTCCACTAGCATTAAGAAAATACTCAGTTCTTAGAAATGTATGTTTTTATTCCTCCTATTTCCTGTTGTTTTTGCCTTGTGTTTTGTATTTTTTTAAATAGTGGTACTGGCTTTCAAAGTACTTAGTGATGATGGTGATGATGTTGTATGAACCGCACGTGAATCCTGGCTCTCCGCTCATAAAGAGAATCATTAACAATTATGTACCTGCAGCTACACACATCTCCACATACGCTCAGCCTGCTGTGTTGAACACAGTCACACGCACTCTCACCCACACACACACACGCACAGACGCGCAGTAATTTGTGCTCCATTGACAGTATCACCTCCCTTCTCCACACTGTAATCTGGCTGCGTAATTGCCTGCAATCTGTGTCTCCAGGCAACAGTTGGGCTTCAAGTGCTCTATTTTGAACTCCGAACAAAGACCCTTTTCTGATTGGTCCCTCACGTCCCCTCTCTTTATTTTTACTCCAATCAGATTTTTTGTTTACAGGCGGACACAGTAGCAGCGAGTGAGTGGTGAAGGGCTGAGGTGAGAGGAATTTGCACTGGCACCTTAGAAGCCCCTGTCTGATTAGGTCCTCAAATTTCAGGAAAATAGACTACAACCTAGAAAAAAAAGTATTTAAAAATAAAGAGCAACCCCGATGTCCTGATATAATGGGAGTAATTTCACTGAGTGTTACTATTGCTGTTTCATTGTTTTGTTGTGTTACTGGTTATGGTAAAGATAATGGAGTAAAATGGGATTTCGTGTCACTGGTGCAAAGAAAATCACCAAAATAAACTTGTGATCTGCATACTGAATTTTTAAAGTGTTTGGATCCATTTAATAAATCTGTGCCACAACGACACGTATGCAAAGCTATCTTTAAACTAGCTTTGCATGGAATAATTCATATTTTCTTGTCTCTCTGTTATGTCCGACTGTATTACAGCAGTTAAACCATTTATGCTTAAACCCAATATTCACTTGTTGTATGTGTATGCCTAGTTGGAAGCAGGCATAGAGATATGACCTAAGTGGTTTCTATGGAGCTTGTAACAATAGAGGAAATGTGTCCACTGTGTCTCATGTTTACAAGAAGGAGAGTCTTGGAGAGGTGGGGCAGAAGCAATCCACAGGATGTACAATCATGATCTGAACAAGAGATTTTGATTCTGTGTGACATACTTGTTTAACCTTACATACATCAATCAAACCAGTAAGAGTCAAGAATGCTGTATGCGGATGTCTTCTGAAGAAGAATCCCACTGGTTTGATGTTCTTTGGCTTGCTCAGGATGTCCCTGCAGTTTTTTCTTCACATTGATTTCTGAAGGAAAGCTCCCTGAATCAGAACAATGATTTATTTCCTGTTCAGCTCCTTCTTTTTCTTTGTTATGAACTTAAGCTGCTCGGCAGTCGGGGGTCTTGCGCTGACTGCACGTCTCTATTGATGTTCTAATTTTATTATTTCAATGTGGGTGAAAGTGCCTTTTCTTTGGAATGCTTTTTCATAATTGCCACAGACTGTGAAGGGCAAATTAGCGAGACAGTGCATGCTGCTAGGCAACAAATACAACCAAGAGTGCACTCGTGCGTGTTTTTTTAAGCCCAGGTGTAATAAATCATAAAGAAAGGAAAATAAAAACAGTTAGATTAGGTTTGTGAAACCAAAGTCAAGTCTAATAATTAGTCTGGATTGCTATTTTTTAAACTCATAAAACACTTTTACTAAGGAGAAGTTTTTTTAAATCTTTTTTTAATGGGTATTAAATGTTGGAACAGCTTATTGTTACTTTTAACCCATTTTAACTAATTATTTTATTAATTTTTAACAAAGCAAATATTCTGGTTTTATCCTCTTTTAGGAAATTGTTTTGGTTCTCCAAGTGATAGACCGAGCCGAGCTCCAACAAAGAGATGAACATTGCACTGAGAAGCAGCAGCCTGCTTCTCTTTAACACGTCTAACAACACACTGTCTGTCTGCAACAAGCAGATACAGCATAACTTTGTTTACTTTGTCCCTTGTCCCTTTGGTTCTGTCAGTAGTGCTGTGCAATACTGCAAATTGCGGTATTAATCCAATAACAAATAAATACAAGGTCACTGTTGCCAATACCAATATTGATACTGGTGCTTTTAACCTGTAAAGGCAAATTATGTAGAGGAGACCAGTGTGTGATGATTTATGAGATGAGTCATCACACATTTTAATGGCAACTAAATCACTTTGATTTTACTTTCCACAATTATTAGTTAGCACAGTAATACACAAAGGCTAAAATGCCTAAAAAATAATCAGAAAAAAATAGTTTTTCATGTATTTAGAAATTGGATTTTTTAGAGACCTGGAACGTGAGTGTGATGTCTCTGAAGCACTTTGGGTCGACTTTCGTTGCTTAAATGTTTAAGTGTGCTTTAGGCAATAAACAAAATAGACGTGACAGTCAACACTAAAAGGTTCAGACATTTTTTATAGTCCATGTTTGAGGTCTATTTGAACTTACAGGATAGACACAATGTATCATATTGCATTAGTATTAATCTAATACCAATACCGGTATTGATACTATTAATATTGATACTCCCACCTCTTGTTAAGCTGATGAATTGGTGATTGTCAGCCACTTCCAAACCATGAGGTTTGACATTACAATTATTTAGAATAAACCCCACTAACCTGCTCCTGCAAAGGGTCCATTGCAGTTTTGTCTGCATTGTGTTGCAGCTTTTTAAAATGTATTTTATTTTATTTATTGATTTTTATTGAGGATTCTCAGTACACTGCCTAGGATGGCTTCCTCGCCTATTCTCCATTTCCATATGACGAAATATACTGTTTAAAGAAAACTATATATAAAGACAGATGTAGCATCTGGCTCCAAAAAGTGATATTGGCATGTTTTGTATGGCCAGCAGGCAATGACTCCTCTGGATGCCAAAAAAGAAAAGATGGGAAAAAAACAACCCGAGGGCTCAGTTGATCTGTGACCTCAGTAAATGCTTCTATAATTTATGCATCGATAGTTCTACAAAGCAGGTTATACTTAGCTTTTGTAAGTCACTACCATTTGAGCAGGCAGTGCTTCCCAGTTTATCATGTATCTAAAATACTACAATGATGATGATCAAGTTGTTAAGTCCAAGATTTCAAGATCTACAGAGAGTCTCATAGTCTAGGTCTGCCAATTACAACCACCTGCATTTTGACAAGCATCTGCTGTTGTAGTATGCGTGTCTGCCAAACCACTGGTACTTCCATATAAGTGAAAAAAAAAAACTAATGCAAATGTAAGTCTGAAACCGTTCTGTCCACGCACAAAGGAAAATGTTGGAAAAGTAGAATGTGGATGGTGACAAAGTTAACATAATGCAAATGCTTAACTTTTATGTTAAGCATGTCTAAACATTTTTCCAAGAGTAACATATTCATTCATGGAAAATCCCCCAGGGGCCAACAGTCCTTCTTTTTTTTTTTTGAAACATAAACATTATGGTACTGCCACCATGAGATGAAAAGAGAAATTACACTTTTTTAACAGGAGATAAATAATACATTTTAAGGTAGTGTACAGAGGCCATATAAAATCTGACCTAGGGCCACGATCAGCCCCTGGGCCGGACTTTGAACATTCCTGTTCTGTATGGTCTGGGCTGCTGGGTGGAAACTGGTGGTTTATAGAGTCACCTAACAAGCAACAGATCCCAGTTCAGTCCAGACAGGAGACACAAATGCCTCAGGGTTTGCTTCATGAAGGGCATCCAGTGTAAAAATCTGTCAGTATCAAGCACAGATCGACCTGTTTTGCTGACTCCTTTGTGAGTGCAGCCAAAATGAACATTTTGTCTCACTAGCTTTAGGTACATGAAGGTGTTCAATGTAAAAGCCTTTGTTAATGTGATTACATATAAATCCGTAATTTTAGCTTTTTATTTTGGTAAGTGCCAAAAGTTTACATTTCCAACGAAAATGTTGGCATTAATTTGTGGAGTGTTTTCCTGAACGGTGGTTAGCACTGTTGCTGCACAGCAAGAAGGTCCTGAGTTCAATTCCAACATGTGTGGAGTTTGCATGTTCTCCCCGTGTTTGCGTGGGTTCCCTCCGGGCACTCCGGCTTCCTCCCACCGTCCAAAGACATGCAGCTTGTGGGGATAGGTTAATTGGATAATCCAAATTGTCACTAGGTGTGAATGTGAGTGCGAATGGTTGTCTGTCCCTGTGTGTTGGCCCTGCGACAGACTGGCGACCTGTCCAGGGTGTACCCCGCCTCTCGCCCTATGACAGCTGGGATAGGCTCCAGCGCCCCTGAAAAAGGATAAGCAGAAGCGAATGGATGGATGGATGGATGGAACATGAAACCGAGCTTACAGAGCTCAGAGCTTATTTTCTGAAATAATCCAAACGCCTTTGAGA